CGCTTAGCGATACTTCTCGGAGATGATACCTATCATCAGGGTGTTTTAAATTTCCATAAATCAAGGAGATTGATAAAAAAAGAAGTGTTTTGTTTCACTTGGGCCAGGTGATACAAAAACAAGAAATGCGAATTTTGACCGGATGTTGAATAGAAATGCAACTTAGACATTATGCGGTTTCGCAGCAAACATCACCTGCGAAACACTTTTTTGACGTTACAAAAGCAATGCAAGGGCACAAAGTCTGCAAATGCACGGAGAATTTACTGAGAGCTTCAGACTACATCCGCACACATTGAACAGTTTGAGTGCACGCATCACTGGTCATTTCCTTTTGCCCTTCTTCAACGCTAGGCTGCATTAAAATAGCAGTCGGAAGTTATTCATAAGAGATAGGTGATGAAGAATGCTCCTAAAGGATATAGAGAACGCACAGCAGAAATTTCCAATAATAGGAATTTTGAACTAAAATGCTATAATTAATAGATTTTGGCACGGATAACGCGGTACCCGTCGAAGAGTGACAATGATTTTAGCATTCATAAGGAGACTGTGCATAAATACCGCCTGCAGTAAAGTGATGAAGAGCATACGAAAATGATGATGATGATAAACAAAGATGCTGACTAGTTTAAAAAACGACTTAAGCTTTTTTCTTTTTGGTTTAAGTTATTGTCAAGTTGGTAAATTTGCATGCATAGTCAAATTGTTCTTGGCAAATTATGGATTTTAAGCAAAGATCATACGACCGAGTACTTTGTGAAATTCGATTTAGTGTGTATGGTAAAGAACGAATGCTGACAAATACAGCATTCAATGCAAAACGAATATGGTGAACTCCACAACCTAAACCGTTTTTGTAACTTATAATCTGGCGATTAATTGTGCAAGATGTGTTTGCCTTAATTCAAAGTAGACCACATAGTCCTCGTGCACGTTCATATTGTGGCAGGGACGGCTAATAGCCATAATGCAACTATTTACTTTCAGGTTTACAAAACCAGAATGGGGCTACCTACGAAGCATCCAAATAATGAACACCTGTATAGATGACTGGAGGCAGTTTGACGTAGCACAAATAGTTTAGGTGAAAAATTAATTTTGTTTGATGTAAGCTATGACAAGTCGTCGTATTTAAATGTCGGATCACGTTGGGTAAAGGGTGACCACTTCTGACCACTTCTTCGGCTCACGACTGACAGAACTGTAAGCCTGTAAGTGAAAGGTAGAGTGTTTGTCCAAGTGCTCCAGGATAAATTGCCCGTCTTTGAAGCCTAAGTTACCCGACCTTCGGTAAGAGTATGACCAGTTGATGGAAGCTGTTAAGCCCACAACCATAATTCTTATTGCCTTTCCAGCGCTTTCCTTTGTAGGTCATTATTATTAAGACGACCAATATTCCAATTTCTTTTGTTAGAGTCTCAGTGGATCAAATAGAAGTTTCAACGTTTGCCTATCACATATTATCCCACCGCCGGGGCATAAATAAGCTAAAGTTTGTGTCTTTGTCTTCATGCCGGTAATCCTGGTGTAATACCACGTGAGAGATGTAGTCATAGGTCTGAAATTTTCATTGGATCTCATTGCGCCTTTGATGTTTGCTGTTGTAGGTTTTGGTTTTGTGACGTTCGAATCAGAGGAGTCGGCCGAAAAGGTTTGCAAGATACACTACCATGACATAAACAACAAGATGGTAAGTTTGCTGTTAGCGATATCTTTTAATGTCTTAATAGTTTAACTTCAAATTGGTTGCAGAAACTTTTAGACAAATAAACTCTGCTATGAACTTTCTGGTATAATTGCAACTTTATAAATGGTCTTCGGATGATTTAGCAAATAATTTGGCCAGAATTCACCATCAAAATTCGCTTCCAAAATATGTAGCTAAACACCCATATTCTGTCATATGACGAGAGGTGTGCGGTATGTAGGGATGGTGGACAGTTTTCTTAAACACCTGTCCGTAGGTCTACTAGATAGTATGCTCTAAAATGATTATTTGTATAATGAAACTCATTCATCCCTACCTATTCAATTGAACTTTGATTATAAATTTCTGTGTATTCTAATCATTAAAAACAGTGCCAGTGGATGTGATTATGTGTCATCTGGGAAAGAAAAATCGTCCGATTTCTTGAATGATACAATATGTAACATGACAATGAATTTTCAGACCTTTCTTCCAACTATCTCGTCACACAGTCTACCAACTTTCAAACTGCGACAGCATGCATGTTCGTTCACCCTGACAAGATCAAAAGTTATCTATCGGCTTTTTTAGTTTACGACCTCCGACCGAAGTTTTATGAACGCAGGGAACCCTGCTAAACAATAATGCTCAGTAACGTTATAATTAGAGGATCATAAATGATAATGACTTTAAAATAACAAAGTTCGGTCTACGCAAATAAAAGACCAAACGGACCACAGTACGCGCAGTGTTAAAGTAACCTGCCGCATACTTCTTAAGAGGATCTGATAAAATAACAAAACACAAACCTATAATTACACAACTCCAGGACCATGGTCAAATCGCGCCCAGCCAAAAAACTGCAGCAATCTTCAATAGATTAAGACATTTCGCAAGTTAGGAAGGTGCCTTCCTGTCAAAAATATAACATCGTGTATTGCTAGTCAGAACTCATCGATTAATACCCTTTAAAATCATAGGAATTTGTTGAGGGTGATATCGTAGCTCTGGTGGTAATATTTATATTGTCAAGGACTGCCCTGCGTTCTGACTAGTTTACACAAAACATTCTCGAGAAAGTAGAAGAGGAGGATGAAACGTTATGGCTGTAAAGCCTAAAATGGCGAGAAGGTCTCTTATGCAGTCAACTTGGATTGGTTTAGTTGTCGTATCCATGAAGAGCCTTCACTTTTCCTATGCAGAGTTCGCAGTTCACAGAGTTGAATTAGACTATTTAATCAGTTTCTCCATTTCCGCCGATATTGCTGTTATAGTCAACCTAATAGTGTTAGTTAAGTTGGCTGTGTTGATGGTTTCAGTGTGACCTTTAGAGACTCCTTCTAGGGGATCAGCCCCCCCACAATGTCAGCAAAATGCTTTAAGACACTACATATTCATTTCTGCATCGGTATGAGTCCATCGAAGATTCACGTTCTAGCTAGCATAGGCCTGCCTTTGAGGTAAAAGAGCTTTCGTACAACCATTTCCACGGTTGGTAGCTCCTCTTAGTATGTGGTCTGAACACTGTCCTAATAAACTGAGTCTTAACGTCAATCCCTATTAAAATATCATTAGTTCAAATCGCCTTGACTACGGTGCAGGCCTCCGTGCATATCTGAATTTTTTTAAACTACCGAGGGCGTATTTATTGCTGCCAGGAAACAATAAATCCCCATGCATATACTCTACCCGTCCAAAATAATGTTTTGCAGGGAATGCTGTCCAAAAAGCCAAAATCGTCAATTGTCGGCATTTGACCTCTTCAACAGATATGTGCATTAAAATTGAGATCAATGTTGAAAATGCAGCAAGAATAAATTCCTCTATTAGTTGAAATCCCTTCTAAGACTGACAACATTTTGGACCTTAAAGTAGAGCCGCATCTTATGAAAGCATATATGGGCATCTTAGATATATGGCTAAATGGCGGACACTAAACAGCTTCAGTTGACTCCATTTTTAATTATTAATTATTAATAATTAGGAGGGTTTAGCTTATTTGAATAATTCAGCTGACGCAATTGTGAAAAAATTTCGGCCTCGGTGGGAGATGAACCCACACAGAAGGAAAATGTTTTGCGCAGCCAGATTATCAGTCTGCTGTCTTCTGGCTGATCCAAATGGATCTCCCATGTCTGTCGACTGACCTGGGTCCGCTGATTTGTGGCCGCCGTTGATAACATAGTGTACTCAGTACGACTTTCAAATAATTGACACGAAACATGATAACATTACATGAATTGACATTTAGAAAAGCAGTAATAAAAATTATTTTGTCCAAGCGTGCGCTGGCAGTGTGTCTTGTTTGGATTTATTCGATTTTCTCAAGATTCGGATAATTATTGCACAGGAGACAGTCATACAGAAGAAAGTCTTTCACAGTGCATTGAACAGTCGAAATAAGGATAGTTTTCTATTCAGAATTGTTCGTCTAAATGGCTCCCCCACAGACACTGGCGGCTTACACAGACGGCTGCGAAATTCGTTTTGTCCTAGACACTCAAGCACTAATTATCGTGTTTGCTGTCTGCCATGGAGTCATAACCAATCGTTGGCAGCTAGGATTTATTCTGAAGCTCTGCTAGATTCTGAAGTTAAAGGGCATTCTTCGCGTTTTTATACTTCTCTGCAAAATAGTCTTTGTGAAAATTAATAAAACAGGGCAGGCGACCACGGTGCGTCTTAAAAATGCCAGCCAACACGGAAGCAGACTGTAGATTGACGCTGGCAAATGGCTACCTTTGGCGTTCAGTCTGTGGGAAATCCACTTTACTTACTAGCGCGGCATAGTAAATAATTAATTCTGGCTCCCTAAGTTGAGACCAAAATATGTTTCCACACACCGAAAGTTAACCGCAAGTCTCGAGAGGTGCAGCATATTGCACTGAAGCCTTGCAATTTTTGAATCCAAAGTTGTTTTATATTAGTATATTATGTCTGGCTTACTTCTTTCAAACATGCTATCGGCGCTTTTTGTACTTCGAGGCCTAAAAGTAGTACATTAGTACGCTTGTGTCCAACTAACTTTTCTTTGATTGACGAGTTCCATTAGGTGAACTTGCTTTCGTACCTCTATCTCAAAGGAGCCGTCCTTTAGATTTCCATATTTCAATCGGCTCGCAGGCATTCATTTTTTCAAAATATTTTGCACATGAAACATCTTCCAACTACATCATTGACAGAAGGCTTTGGCCTGAAGAGTTAAAAATATAGGGTAAGGTTCTATATATTCATGTGAGAAGTGGCGACTCTTCCTATAATTTCGACAATTGGCGTCTACGTACTCGGGTGTATTTCGTAAGTAAGATCAGGCCAAACTTTACCTTTAAAGGTCCCATTATATAAAATCTGAAAAATTTCAACTCCGTCTACCTCTGCACAAAAATTTATAATAAGGGGATCTGTTGTCAACTAATAAAACGCACGTTAGGCCAACTTGCCTCGGAAATCAATTTTTACGCAAACTTTTATTAGGGTAAAGAAGATACGATCGGACATATTATACAGCACGGCGTGCTAACATTAATTTTCAGGCAGAAAAACACCTGCAATCAAACCGGTAATAATCGCGATAGCGTGATTGCTGACAGTTACGCTTGAATTCCTCCGAAAACTATTAAAGACGAAATAGAATTGAAGCTTAAAATTTCAGTTCACTTAACCTTTCCGCGCACTGTGTTAGAAAAGAGTCCTAGTTATAAATTTTTCTTTCAGGATGCTTTTCTTGACTGAAAGGTGTAGTTTCTTTTTAGCCACTTAGAGTTTGCACTTGAAAAAGCGCACACATGATGTATCTTGGAAGCGTCATATGGACAATCGTTTGAAGTTCTCTGCGTGACCTCGGTTTAAAGCATGTGTCAAATGCTGAAAAACGTCGACCCTTCCATTTCAGCGGACACATTTTGTCGGTAACTGCAATGCCTTCCACCTTATTTCGACTGTTTGCACATAAATGGAAGGCTTTAGAGGCTCAGAATTCTAACTGCCTTCACCAACGAACTTAAAGCGCAAATAGGTGGTGCATGCTGTGATTGTGTAGCGATTATTGTGGAGCTAAAAAAGGAAATGGACCCTGAACTCATTAATCATACGCATGTTTAATGGCGTCGAAAGCAACTCATCTTTGTGCGCCCTTGCTACCCAGTGAACTGTTCTTATGGACAAGGATAATAAAAAAGAGAGTTCACAGAGAACCCCTTATCCCCATACACACTATTGGTCAATTTGCGCGTTCTCTTTTTCGCTTCAATGAACTTTGAAGCCTTATTTAATTTTACTTCCGATCTTCTCAGGTCGAGGCAAAAAAAGCGCTGCCCAAAGAGGTGCTCAGCACCGGGAATGCACTTGTGAAACAGCAGCAGCAACAACATCAGCAACAGCAACAGCAGCGTCAGCAGCTACTTCAACAGCCAATTCGTAAGTACAAATTCCTCCTTCAATCGGCTGAGCCTTGCTTTTTGTTAACTTTTGAAGTACTCTGCAAATTTTCGAAAAAAAGATTGAGAGACATATTTAGAGGAGCTTGAAAGCGGGTACCAATACAGCCAATAGAGATTCCTGCCAAATGATCTGCTAGTACGTATCTGCTTCAGTAACTACAAGGGAAACCTGTCAAAATGAACAGAATTTAACATTCTTTTGTGGCACATGTGGACCATTGAGTAGATTTCTTCTCCAGCCTGAAATGAGAGGCTGACAAGGATAAAAAGGACCTAGCACTGGCGCGTATTTCCATCAGTGAATTATTTGCCTTCGCCCTTATTTAGTTTCCTTGTCCCCAACTTCTGGCTCTTAGCTGAACTTATCTGCCCGACTGTGGTTTTGCCGTCAAAAACACGACTGAGGCTACTCGTAAGTAATGAGCACTTTCATCGACATCCTTGACTAATGATCATCTGGAATATTTTGCTAATTTCTACTGTAATTAAGCCTCATACGGATATTTAGAATCAGTAAGGCATAACGCTTGGCAAGCAGGATAGAACGACGGCAATGTACGATAATAAATGACAACGAGATAAATACAGTCGGTGAACATTGAATAATATCTTTTTTAACTTGAGCACACACACACTTCCTGATAAATAAGTTTATACTTCAGTAAAGTTATATACTGAATGGTCGATAAAATTGGAAAAGAACTTGTATCTATTTAGTTGATTCTGGGCCAAAGCGGTATTTTCAAATTTCAGCGATAATAAGCTACAGGAGTTGCTCAATAGGGCTCAGGATTAAAATTAAGTGAAACTTACTATTTGGGCGGTTTTATTTTTTATTAACCAAACTGAATATATGACTATCACAGAAGTGGCCGTCGATGACTTTCGATCATCCTACTTTTAAATCACGTGTAAGACAAACTGAAAGTGTGTTAGAGTTAGATGGCCTCAAGGCCATTCTATCAAATATAAGATTTTATGCTTTCCTGCAGTTCGGCAAGGCTGTTGATGACGTTCATTTGCAATTGCGAAGCCTGGATATCAACAGTCGGATTGTCTAAATAACCAGAGGGATTATTTGAACTTGAGCCATATTAACCATGCCGCAAATAGATCCCCATGGGACGAGCGGTCTAGAATTATGTTGCTGAGCTAGAACTGATGAAAAAAACAGCGCGCAAGTAAAGCCGGCATAAAAATGAATTAATAAGTCTATCAGTGATAAATTCTTTGTTATAATTTATGTATTATTGTCGTAATAGGCTATTTAACTTCATAAATACATAAATAGTGACTGTCTACTGAGAAGTATGTGACTTTTCATGAATATGGCTTTTTGGAAAAAGGACACTTTTTCATTATTCCATTCATGGTTTGTTATATGCTAAAATTTGTGCAACTTATGGTAGATCTGGTTTTATTTAACTCTGACGTATAAATGTCGACAAAAAATTTTCACACTATATGAGGACCAGGTTTATCTTATGTTTCTACCCAGTCGGTTTTGTCCTCTTTGAAGAAAACCTACTGATTCACACAATCTCACACAACCGTTTTAGCCCTCTTGCGTTTTCTCTAATTGGGGAAATAAAGAAAAAATGCTGAAACACAAAAACGAATTGTTTCCTAAACTTCATGTCTGATACTGTCAACAGAAGGCCTGCTCTCATTTTAGCTTTGCAAAGTCATCCGGATTCTTTTGATTTTCCGTTCTCATGAGAGAGTGTCGGGAATTGGTCTTATGATCCCATACGCTTTATATTTATATGTTTACTGTTTCTCATACTCTATGCCTTGCACTATTTTGTGGCTATGACTGTATTTGCATCTTCATAAAACATTAACTATCTCAGCAATTAACTACGTCTATGCTAGTGATTCAGATGATCGCCATCTTGCTCCAGCTGAATTCCAATCAAGGCATTACTGATTCAGTCTATAAAGAGACCTTTGTTGCGATTCATGAACAACTAATTTGTATAACTATCGCTTGCTACACCCCAGTTTATAACGATAATGAGCAGACACAAGCCGGGTAAACTGTCATGCAGTTTAAAAAAAATTGCCACATCAGACATGTGGGAGGATACTTTTTGGTATTACCAGTTTCAAAATAGAGAATAGTTTTTAAGTGTGTTTACTTTCTAACCAGTTTCCCTTCTGTTTTGTGGAGCATTATTTCTTCAATGCACAAAAAGTCCGAGAAAAAAGTATGAGAAAAGGATACGAGGTGATTTCAAAGTTTATAAAGTGACTGCAATTATTGTGGCCCAGGAAGGTTTTAAAATTCCGAGGTATTTTATATGCATAAAATAAAGGAATCTTCCTCCGTAATTCCCTATGGAATGCGATCATGCCCATGTATGCATCCATATTTCAAGAAGAACATTTACAATTTACTAACATATCGAGTTACCCTTCGCTTCAGGTTCATCACAGTCTCATCGAATAGTACAATTCTGATTAATTTTACTACTATGAGCAGTCCCAAATTAAGTAAAGTAACACAAAGGAAAAACGTCTGGCTCATATAGACGCAATTATCAAAATTAAATGGCCCACCTACGACTTACAAAAGGACAGTTTAATTCCAAACCTCTCTGTGAGGTAGAAGGCGAAAGTGCCTCTTCTTTTAAAGTAATTAAGCATTGCACCTGACAAAATGCTCTCCATAGAATGTGTTTTAATCGCGGCATTTTAAGTAAAAAATCTAATTGCAAATGAGGTGAATGAGAATGCGGGGAACGCGCAGTTTCAACTTAATTGCACGGACTAAATTGAAAGGCTGAGTGTTTAGGAGAATTCCATCAAAAGTAGAATATTCTAGCTTTTCAAGGATCGGGAATATGACGTGGGATACTGTGAGAACAACCATTTATTAGAAGAAGTTCGATTATGTCGGTAGTTTTAAGATACATTTTTCTGTAAGTAGAAACATTTTTACCGGATTCACAAACAACCCGTTTTACCTAACATGTTACTAAAAGATTCTTTTCATAACAAGGAAATGTGAAAATATGCTAGTCACAATGAGAATAAGACATTCGCACTGCCATTCCATTAGCTTTCAAATTAACAGCAAATTTGCGATGTCTAAAATATGCAATTGGCCAGCGGCAGCGGGACAGTCAAGCAGCTAATATTAACGGAAAAACGAGACAGCCAAGCAAATTAAGGTGGTAGCTGTTATGTGAACCTTTCCATTTTCTCAGTCCAGTTATGCCCCAAAAAACATGTGGCACTGGAGAAGTAACAGACTCGCATCTGTTTAACAGATGAGGTCTAAATGATCGGTCAGCTGTCGTGCTGGCCAGCAATTCCATCATTGTCGACCCTTCATCTGTCGTTTTTTGAACCGATAACAAATGTCTGCACAAAATCAAAGGCACCCACTGATCCATTTGGCCTGCATGGGAGTAGGAGATCTGAAGTCTGGGTTTAAAATGATGGAACAGAGGGCCTGTTTCTTGGTTTTTTCTCTCCTTGCTGGTTATCTTCGCTGTGGGAGGCACGAAAAATTAATAGGCTAGGTTATAAACCATGCTAATGCAATCAGTGTCTGTAAATGTGATAAAGCGTGTTAAGCTTAAAGGCGAGTATGGGATAATGTGACTAACGTTCTGACAGCTAGACTTGGGGAGCCTAACGGAGATTTGATAAAATGCTGGTTTTCAAGTACCGACAAATATGACAAGTGGAAACGTGAATCAGTCGGAAAACATACTACTGGGAGTCAAACTAATGAGCAAATTGAAAGGCCTCCTAATCGTTCCCGAAGAGATCATTACCGCAGCGGAATTAGAAAATGTGTTGGAGGCAAAACAAATAAATTGGTCATCTCTGCCATAATTACTCGCCCGGATAGCTGCTCGGTAATGCTGATGGTTCAGTTTGTCGTTATATTTCTCAAATGAACAATTTCACTGCCAGCACCTGCGCTTGCTTTATCAACAGCAATAAATAAAGGCCTAGTTAAATTGAATTCGAAATAATCTTCAATATGGCCATCACTTAGTAGGCTTTTGGAAGGCTGCATTTATCAGAAGTAATTCCAAAAAATCGTTCTGAGGTTTTCGGCATTTCATGTGGTAGTTTGCAGAGAAGCAGGCCACTTTTAAGAGGCGACTCGAGTATCATCTTTTCATATCTTCCTTCTCCTCTAGGTGGATTTTGTTTTGATGGGTGGGCCTCCTGATGTGTCAATTATTTCTCCATCATAGAATATACAGGTTCATTGATAAACAAAGGTTGCAAGTGCGCAAGCGCGAACGAATTGTCGACTGACTGACGCAGCTGTCTCCGTACACTTCGGAGAATGTTACCGAATGTCAAATTAGAGGATAATAAGGAAGCCGGTCAAGTTTCCAATATTGAATGTGGCTGTAAGAGACGCAACTTACGCTTCAGCTGGCAAGGGGAGATGCCTTGTGCAACGCACAGGGAATAAACGCCCCCATCACCGGCGTCCAGCCGACCACCATGATGGCAGGATGTTTACCTGTTTGCATAAAGATATGTAAAAAAAACCTTACGGATATTATCAGAAAGGTTAAACTTGATAACCTGACGTAAAAATTCCTGTTCCAAAAATGTGTGATGAAATAACCATTAAATACTAAGTGTATACAGAGAAGGATGAAGAACAAATGTGTCGCTACTCCTTTATGTGACTTACATATAATGCTGCAGAGGTGTTTAATGATAAAAAGGAACTGTTTTACTTGCTTCAGATGGACATAGTTACACTGGTTTATCTGGAGAATATCAGCTATTCGTTTGGTTGATTTTACTGCAATATCAGGCGTGTTGACCTCATTTATGACCACTCTGTTACATTTAAATCATCCCAAAAGATCAGTATTTCACAGAAGATTAGAATGCTTGTTAGTAAGGTTTGTGCACTGCTTCAAGATAGTTTGTCAAGCTTCTATTACGAATTCAACCGGTGGAGTATGATATATCTAAGTATCAATACCACGTTTAACGGTAAGGGTGTGAGAGAGCACCTCCTTAACGTGGAGTAACCGCAACATTGAACCTAGTAAAAGTAAAATATATGAGAGTGGTTAATCTGCGATTGAAGCAATCGGCCGCATAGACAGATTTATGACAATTTCCTGTTCTTTTGTTTATTTTCTCCATTTCTTCAGCACATATCCTATATGCCTATAAGGCTACATTAGATGTTCGTTCGATCAGGCAGTGACTATTTCTAGGTTTTTTTCTCCTTTTTACGAGATTTTTAACATACTCTATCCTGTGAGGAGGCAAATTCAAAAACGTCATTGATTTGGAAAACGTACACTCGAGTATGGCAGCGAAGGCATAAGAAGTCCTTCTTGCCTAAGCACTTTTCATGTGTTAAAGCGGACAAAGAAATTCTTAAAGGACTATGACTGCCGGACTACATGCCCGAACAATAATTTTATTTTGCCACATACATCTGATG